GCTACATTTTACAGGCGCCGTAGAATGTAGCGTCGCGCGAAAATGGAACTCGGACCATTTTCGCGCTACATTTTGCAGCCAACAGGCGGCTCCACTAGCTGTAGATTGTAGTGCCGCGTCAAGTCAGTGTACTACACTGACGTACAGCCGACCGGCATACAGACACAATTATTAAATAATTATATCGGGAGTGTGGGAATCTTGTTTTATATAGGTTGTCTAGGGGTTTCCTACTTTATATTATAAAGTAATACAGTAGTAATTGGAGAAACAAATATTTGGAAGCATTCAATTTGTTTTTAAATGCAGCAGTCATAAAATTGTTATGATCATTAGACCTATAATGAAAAGATCCTAATGGCTTTTTTAGATTATTATTAATAGGTACAACAAAAACTCACAAAACTCATTGATATTCAGCGTACATTGGTTACTTAGAAATATTACTTCGGGGGGTAAATGAGTGCAATAAAACTAAAATGGAAATAGAATAGAAATAAAGATAAAATGACGATTTAAAGTAGTGTAGTGTAATTCGACACACCTGGGATTGTTGAAGCGAGGGTTCATTGTATAAAATTAATGAGTTTAAAATTCAGTACACTAAAATTACCCTAATGTCACTGAAAGCCTTTCCTCTACTCCAATTGCTTCTCTTAGTTTGGTATCCTTCGTCTTCAAACGTCTTGATACTGCTTCTAGAAAGTAATCAAAAGCGTTTTGGGACATTTAATAATAATAAAAAAAAAACTTGTATGAATACTTTTGTGATTTAGTATGCAGTTTGTGGAACATCCCTTCGAACTTTCTGTTGCTTAATATTGGATAGATCGACCAAATCACGTCGACGTATATTTTCGACACAAATAGATCGACGTATATTTTCACAGTTGTGAATTTAATTAATCAGAACACATCAAATTATAAAACCCTAGAGTTTACAGGCTGAGTTTCACGGACTTTTACCCCCTTTGTATGAGGTCAGCTCAAAATGTATGGCCCAGATTTTTACCCCCAGAATTTCACCCCCCAGACTTTTACCACCGGATTTTGATCCCCGGAATTTCACCCTCTGGCCAGATATAGAAATCAGTGAGAGAATGATTTATTTTCTTCTTTCAGTTTAAATTTAATAGTCCACATTTTATTATTAAGTAGCCTATCTTTATTTATTTGTAATCTCAACTAAGTAAACAGGTTTCGCCGTTTAAGTTTGATGTTTGTGGCCAACTGTTGGTTAATATGTATGTAAAATAAAATGAGTAGCTCAAATTCTGGGGGGTAAAAATCCAGGGGTAAAATTCCGGAGGTAAAAATCCTGGGTTAGAAATCCAGGCCGTACATCTACAGTTGCCTAAACTCTAGTTATATGGACAGGGGGTAAAATTCCGGTTTTTATTGCTAATCCAATTTATCGCACTCTGTCTATTTTCATTAGACTTCCAATCCGCCCGTGAACAAACTTTAGACTGCTCAGGAATTACTACGTCATAGTGACGTCAGCTTTTCCCTGGGGGTAAAATTCCATGGGGATAACATTCTCGTGACCAGCAGTAAAAAGGGCCCACCAGTATAGAAATTGGTGACTGCCAGATGCAGGAATTTTTTGTCCTAGGACGCTAGGCACGAGCCTGGGATTGTTTTTCACATTACTTCAGGCTAGACCTAGAAGTTGCGGCATTATCACTTAGATAAAATCCATTGGTGGCTTGGTGGGGATCGAACCCGGGACCTCAAGGACTGATAAGTCCCGCGCTCTAACCACTACGCCAGCTCGCTCCCCAGATGCAGGGTTGAGCTTATACAGAGTAACGTACATTGTTAGTAGTGTTAGTACTGTATATGATTTCATAAAATACGGAACCTACACTACTAGGACTGCAATAGTCCAAATTCTAGTCTAATCCAACCTCAAGGTTCTTAGATAAAAATATCGTTATAACTTATACTGTGAATCAAACAATATCTCTGCTATTATTGAGTAACATCTAACATCACGGTTAATTAGATAAAACAATCGTCTGTTTGTTTTAATCGTTGGTTATTATTTTCACTCAAGCTATTGTGGGCAACCAGCAGCCTTTTGATGAGACTGCAAAACACATTATTCTGGATTGCGATAGACTTTTGGGCCAAGAGAAGGGCTATGTCTGGTTTAAAGCAGCCGGGTTCAGGCAATGAACCATAAACGCTAACATTGGCAAAAGCTCCTGCACCTGGTCAAAAACACGTGTATAGGATTTCCTATAGTTAGTTGCGATTGGGGCATGAAAAATAACCTTTGGTTGACATGCTGGCCCCTCCACAACACAATTTTACACCATACAACAACTAATTAAGTTAAATTGGAACCTACTTGTAAGACTACAAGTAGCGTGTAAGATATATCAAGTAGCCATGCTGCAGACGGAACAATCAATTCCTCAACGTCATCAAGCCACACTTACAAAAAAACAACCTTATTCTACATTATTGGGATGAGAGATCTATTGTTTTTTAGTTAACCTCTCCCCAAGGAGGTTGAGACTCCTTGTCGAGGGAACCTAGACGGGAGCGTGCACGACAACCCCCCACCCCAGATAATTTTTTATGGCAGGATGTTGGGGTGGCACCTTAATGGCGGCCTGCAGCCACAGCCACCTTTAACTCCAGGCCGCGGCCTTCGAATTGGCAACATCGCAAGTAGGGTTGTAACATCGATCTCTAATAATAGAGATCGATGGGTTGTAACAGCTGTTTTGTTTGGAGGTGGCTAATGGTAATTTGTGTATTTTTTAAGAATACAAAAGCTTGTTTACTGGGCTATGAAAATATTGACTCTAATTTAATGTACAAAAATAGATTTTCAATTTAAACATTGTTTTGGTTTTCAATTCTATATATTTTATTTTCAATCTTTTAATAAATTAATGTTCATGAATTTAAATGAATAATACGCTAATTAATGAGCTGGTGTCACCTGTCTGCCATGTAATCTTATGGGACGACTAGCGCTAGACAACACCACTTGCAACGTTGCCAATTCTACTAGGCCATGGCCTGGAGTTAAAGGTGGCCGTGCCTGCAGCTCCGCTCTCATTTCATCCTCCCTAGAGTTAGGCCAACTTGAAACAAATTTGACTTATAATTTTGCACTATAAAAATCCAAATTAGGCAATGTTACACTATTTTATGATTGTACGACGAGAGACTTCATATGCATAATTAGTCTGTCAAATTATTGACAACCAGGCATTTGGCACGGCCGCCTCCTTCAGGCCGTGGCCTTCGAAGTGGCAACGTCGCAAGTAGGGTTGAACAGCTGTTTTGTTAGGAAGCAGCTAATGGTATTTGTGTATTTACGAAAGATTGGTTACTGGACTATGAAAATATTGACTCCGCTTAAAATGTACATAGATTTTCAATTCATATTGTTTTGGCTTTCAATTCTGTGTGTTTTTTTTTCAATATTTTAACAATTTATGTTCATAAATTTAAATTTAAATCAATTAAGTGCGAATTAATGTGCTTATATCACCTGTCTGGAGTTAAAGGCGGACGGACATGCATTTAGTCATGTACTATGAAACACTTGTTATAATATAATATGTTATGTGATGTCACTTGTAATTTATGACCATTTTAGCAGAAGCTTCATGACATTTAATAAAACTTACCAAAATAAAACCAGAAAGAGAGGAAATAAAAGTAAGTTTCAATCAGAGTCAGGCACTACTTGTCAGTTGTCAGCAGTGTTGCCAAAAAGCGGGTAATTACCCGAAAAGCGGGTAATTTAGTTACCTGGGGGTAATGCTGCGGGTAATGGCAAATAGGTGGGTAAAAAGCGGGTAAATGACAACTGATGAAATATTATTTGTTTTTCGTATTTTTACTTATATTTCACTAGAAGAAAAAAATTTCCCTGTGTTTTTTTCATTAAAGTTATTTCACAGACTTTTTATTGTTTTACACTACTTCTCTTAATCTTCATCAGTCTCAGTCACTAGTAGTGTAGATATAAAGTCAATTCGAGTACAGCTCGTGACACCTAAGCTGGCACTTGGCCTGGCGAGGACAGTGTAGGCGGGAGGAGGGTGGAGGTAGGGAAAAGACCGGACTGCAAACATTTCCGCTGCCTCACGGGGTTGACTCCCCTTGTATTGTACTTGAGCGCCTTCATATGGGTCGCGAGGACAGTTGATGCAACCCGCATGACGGGACATAATGTTTTTGAAAAAGGTACTATTAGCCATCGGCCAAGTGCCAGCTTAGATGTCACGAGCTGTAGGCTACAGCGTTCAGTCGGTTCGGTTCGGTTCAGTTTCAGTCAGTACGGTTGTTTGTAGTCTTTTCTTTTGGATTGGAGTGAAAAACTTTTGGTTGCCTGGCCTTAAATGCCTGATCCGTGATCCTGATCTCACTCTCACTTTACTTCTCACTATACTGTAGTAAACTTCTGATTCTGATTACTACAGTCAACGCTGATACCATGGTGGAAGGAAAATACCGTACTATAGTCTACTTCTAAAGAAGATGAATAACATAAAACAGGGGAATAATAATGTTGATCGGTTATAATAACTATTTTCTCCCTAAAACTAATAAAAAATAAAATTTTTAACAGTACTTACTCATTATTAAACAAGTATATGACATAGGCTATCATAAAAAAAACCAAATCATTGTAGGACTAATGAAATTATTTTTGTAAGGTCAGTAAGATGAAATTTCATTATGAAGGTTAATTACAAGTCTCAAGTCCTATATTTAGTTCTTTACTACATCTTAATTTGTGGGATTACTCAAAACTAATTTATCAGGGTTTTTATTCGTTACTTTTAGAGACAGGCAAGAGTGTTAAAAGGGAATTTTTGGTTTGTTGAGGGTAATTTTTAGAAAAAGCGGGTAATTCTTTGCTTTGGAGGGGGTAATCGGGCCATAGTGGATTGGCAACGCTGGTTGTCAGTGTCAGTTGTCATTTCCATAAATGTTGGTATGTCAAAAAAGTGTGTTGTTACACTGACTAGATGTAGATGCTTTGAGAGAAAGACGAAATGTGAGGTCAAAAGTGACGACGATAGAATAATCATGATCATTTCTTACCAAATCAATCGATAAAATCATTTATAAATGGAAGTTATCTGACATCAAGATCATTATTGTAAGTTTTAGTTTAGTACTGAAAATCAACTGTTCCTCTCAAGTATAACCTAACTTAGATAAAATTGTTGTATATTTTAGACAGAGTTATTCAACCTCTGAGACATAGGTGTACATTTAAGTCCCCTAACATTTTTCCACCATTTAAAACCTAGTGAATGCCTTTTCCCTTTATTTTAGATTGCATCATTAATTAACCTGTGCTGAACACTCAAAACTAGGAAGGTGCCTAGTTGGCCTATGTTGGCACAATTACTTACTTGTATTCTTGAAGGTATCCCACTTAGTTTCGAATTACACACTAATACCACCATCTCACTAGTCGCAGCCACCGTCCTGTACAAGTTGCAGCCACGCTTGTCCCAGTTATACAACAATTATACAGTAGGCCTATCTGTTATAAAATTTTTGCTATATACTAGGATTACAATTTATTGCTAAGCCCGCTAATATTTATCCTCTATTATAGTGGGGGCCACCAGCCAAAATCTCTTTTTTACACATAACCATATGGCCTCCCTACTGTGACCTTCTCGCTAAAAAGTACTCCGTTTCGTGTTGTATGATTCTTTTATCAAGATGGAATCAATTTCCTGCTTTTTCCTTGTCAGATACGTTTCCTTTCTTCTTTGGTTTACCTAAAGATTCAGAAGGCCTATCCAAGCTAGGCTTGATTACAAACTTTCACTTTTATCAAAAAATGTATTGCCCTCTTTAAATCCATATTGTTCATAAGCTGCAATAAAATGAATACCAAACAAGCGCAAACCAAGAAAGTATCATAGGTGTGTGTGCAGCTTCAAACAAGTGGACATCAGTGACAGTACACATGTACAGGGAAGGTAGTCAGATGACAATACAAGTTGCGTGCATCCCCGAGAGCTAGGTTGCAGCTACCTGGGCCAGGTACCTATATTACAGTATTAAGGAGTAATTCTGAGAACCTAATGACTTAGCCATCAGAAAATTCTTAACAAGTAGAGTATCGTGTGGTGAAACTTGCTGCATATGTATCAGCAGTTATTATAAACTCTGCCATCTTCAGGCTTAACAAAAGGATCCACTTATTGGTCATCAAGAATGAGTTTCACAAAGCTTACACATGACATAAAAATTAAGACAAACATGATTATATTATATTAGGCCTACATGCATGTACTTTGCCGCAGAAAGGACTGGAAGAGTCTGCTATCGTATAGGCCTAATCCTTAGGCTATAGCAGTGAATGAGCCAAATAATTTGTCATCTCTTAATTGTGCTACAAATTTCACAGCTAGGCCTAATCCTTAATAATAGCAATGAGCCAATGGGACTTCTTGATTCCAGAACTATCCCTGATCATGGCGACCAAGCAATATGATTATCTCCTATGATTGCAGTGGCTTCATGATTATATCTTGCAATCACAGCAACATTGTAATTTTTTGATTGTAAAACCTTGAAGTTGTCTCAAAAAGAGTTAATTTCATAAGGCCTCACTATCCACTTTCGCTGGTCCGGTCAAACGGTAGCCATTCAGCAGGATGATTCAAACTCATAGGTTTTAATGGGCGCAGTCACATTGTTGAGGTTGCGGTGCGTCGACAGGATCCACCGCATGCTGCGGCAGTGTAGCGGGACGACCGGACGACGGGACAAAAGTTGAAACACATGCTTTTAAATGAGCGCAGCCACACCATCCTGTTGTGCCCTACTGTTTATCCCTACTGTTGTCGCTATCAACAGTGCACAGCATGTGATGCTCACGCTCTTCACTCGAAGTATATTGCGGTATAGCAAGATGGTGTGACAGGGTACTGTAATGTCAATGTGGGAAAAGCGCATCCTTCTCAACCGCATCCCACAAAACGGGATAGTGTGGCGCCGGCCGAAGATTCCCAAAAAGCAGGAATATCAAAATAACTGCAGCTCAGAACATTCTGCATACCGCTGGAAGGTTTTAGGAAGATGGCCAGATGAAATTTTATGTTGTTGGGTAGGCTTTACAACTGCAGGGTTAGAAAATCCTATATTGCTAAGCATTTGGCCGTTCAAATAGAAACGGATCCAAGAGCACTATATGGTGAAGTAGACCCTAGTGACTATCAACTGCACACAGCAACATCGCTGCAGTGGCGCTAACACCGTTTGCTTAGGCCTATGTGTACCATATGTGTTCCATTCGTCTCTGAGGTCTGCAAAGTTTCTGCTCCTGAATTTGTAGCTTATGTGTGCCCAACATAAGACCCCTGAAATGTAACCAAGATACCCCTTAAAAGTGTGAATTTGATTTTCAAGTTTTAGCAGGTAGGCCTACTGCGTTTTTAGATTATGAATTATAATGTCATAGACTTCATAAAAACCTCTGTCAAAACTTAGAGGACAAGAAAAATACCTGTTAGGCTCTTTGCTATAAGGTTATAAGAACGAAAAACCATTAACTTAATTACATGGTAACCGACTTCAGTAAATTGTATTATAGGCACAGAGGTTTTTCGGTTTAGCTTGGATCCAACCTTAACTTGAAATGGTTTAGATAGAATAGTTAGATAGAACAAAAGTATTTGTAACATTTCAGAACTCATGAAGTGGTCTAATTACATTAATTTAGTTAGGCCCTACCTAAAAATAACAGTATTTTATATGTTTTAGTTAAACAGTTGTGGTTGTGAAAAATATGTATTTATGAGAGTCCTTCCCAAACTGTTGACCTAGAAACACCTTTTCATATTTTTACTAGTGATACTATTCAAATCAAAAAGAAACTTTCAGAAAAACCTATTTAGTGGGGTCGTATAGCTGCATATAGTGGCAGAATATTTCAGTTCTGGCAGACAGGCTGCAATTTTAGGTGGTCATAGTATACAAGTTTCTGAACCTAAAACCGCCCAGACCCCAATTTTTAAGGACCTTGGTTGTCCGTAACGACGTAATCAAAATGGCGGCCGTAAGAGGATGCTGGGTCCCCATAAATTGGCTATAACGACCGAATGCCTGAACCGATTTTCATGAAATTTGGCACACAAGTGCTTGAATACATTATCTCGGCCTGGGTTGAAAATGGTCAAGTTTCATCAAGTCATTTCAAAATGGCGGCTATTCAATACTAAAAAAAATTATGAGGAAAATAATTGTGAATTGTTTTATACAGGGTGAGTTTTAAAAGAGTTCCCTCCCTACTTTTTTATACATTTCTTAAGATATCAACTTTGAACCATGTCAGATCATTGTAGAGTAGCAAGTACTTCATTTTGACTGGGTTTACATTTTTGGCCGCCATCTTGGATCCGCCATTTTGGATACAAAAATATTTTTTCAAATGTAAAGATAGGGTTGTGACCCACCGTTTCAAACAAAACCTTTACGCTGAATACGATGCTGCAATCCGTTAAAAAAATGTTGATCCATTCTAAAGTTATGAGAACTTTTTATAACTTTATTTTTAGTCCATTATAACATTGTGCATTTACAAACTAAGGCCATAATCTCAAAATAGTGCTAGATAAAGATAAGTGGACACCACCATTTATTGTTGACCTATTTTCACTCGGTTATGACGGATGTATTTTTTTCAGCCGCCATCTTGGATCCGCCATTTTGAAATGTGATAAATTATTTTAAATATGAAGGGGGTGTTGTGACCCATCATTTTGAACTACTTTTTTATGTTGAATTCAATGCCGCAATCAGTTTTTCATTGTCATGTTTGGTTTTTGATATATTGACATTTTAAATCAAAATAATTGTTATATTTTATCAAGAAAGCTTGATAACAAAAAACGGATAAAATAAAAACTAGTCGAAATGAAGTAATCGCTACTCTAGAATTATCTGACGTGGTTCGGAGTTGATATCTTAAGAAATGTATAAAAAAGTAGGGAGGGGGAATTCATTTAAACGTCGACCTGTACAAAACAATTCACAATTATTTTCCTCATAATTTTTTTAGTTTTGAATGGACGCCATTTTGAAATGACTTGATGAAACTTGACCATTTTCAACCCAGGCCGAGATAATGTATTCAAGCACTTGTGTGCCAAATTTCATGAAAATCGGTTCAGGCATTCGGTCGTTATAGCCAATTCATGGGGACTCAACATCCTCTTACGGCCGCCATTTTGATGACGTCATTACGGACGACCGAGGTCCTTAAAAATTGGGGTCTGGGCGGTTTTAGGTTCAGAAACTTGTATACTATAACCACCTAAAATTGCAGCCTGTCTGCCAGAACTGAAATATTTTCCTGCTACCCAACCTGACTAATTGCACTTTGTCCTTATGACATTAATTCATTTTTATCCTGTCAACTGTAATCTTAATATTTTTATATATTTATTATGTGTAATCTATTTATAATGCATGATTTGTACTTACATGTCACATATTCATTGCTGATATTCAGCCTCTGCATTATGAATTTTTGTGATGAGTAAATTGATTTGATTTTGATTTAAAATCAAATATACTTTATTCATAAAGTACAGTTTTGTACATTGAATGGCGTCAACTAAATCTATCTTAAATTAATAATTTACAAACTTGCATATCTTAGACCATTATTTATATTAAAAACCAAGAACCAGTAAATGCAAATAATAAAAAATAAATCAATTATCAACTAAGGCTATTTATTGTAGGCTACCTCACAAGTTTCACTTATTTGTGGTGACTAACATTCCATTAAAAGTATGCATTAAAATAAGTCTTACAGTAAAGGACGGATACATTTTGATATCTAAGGTAGGCTAAGTATACTTAATAATATTGTATTTATTAACTTAATAAGGTTAGATTAACATCTTATTTCATGTAAACTGGGCTTAAGCATATGTTCTTAAGTTTTTATCTTTTCTTCATTTCTTTCAATTTATTGCAGAACGAAATGGAGGCACAAGTATCAACAGTTATCCATGATGGTACAAAACATTTTGAAAATGAAAAACTAATTAATATTGCTGATGACATCAAGTTGAATTTTAAAACCAATTATGATATTGTAGAAAATCAAATTGCAAAATCAGATGAATTAAATATCACTAATCTATCAGAGACAGATAACCCACAAGATGCTCAAGGCAAGAATCAAGCCCCAAATTTTGATCAAGGAAAGTGCGAAGGAGAGATCAGCAGTAACTGTACCGATGTTGGAGTATCAAAGGAAAAATCTGACAATGAAAATGAAGAGAGCAAAACCAAACAGATTGAAGAGGATGAGAAGGTAAGAATAATGTCCTGTGTATTTATGTATATTATAAAGTACAATACTGTAAACCACCATTAAATTGGGCTAGAGTTGAATGTAATCCAGATTAAATCAAATAATTTGATTAAATAAAGGCAAAGCTCTTCTGGTTTTTTTTTGTACCACTTTTTTGTAATAGCCTAGATCACTCTTTCTTCATAGAAAAACGCTAATTTGTCATTCAACACTTTGGACTTTGTATTAACAAAAACATAAAAAAATTATATCCAGATTTTGATTCATACTGTTTGTGAAATTTCATTCAGATTTTTATTTTGTTATTTGTGAAACAATTTAATTTATATTTGGATTTTTTAATTTGTGAACCTGCATAGTAAAGGTTCATCTGCATATACAATTACTCATTAATATATATATATATATATATATATATACAATTTATAGTAACCTTAGGAAAATTTTATGTGTAACACAAGCGCAAAGTCTCTTTGCTGCACTCAAGTGGCTTGTGCGTGAACATTTCTCTCAAATGCAGCAAAGTGTCATTTTGCGCACTGGTTACACAAATAACTATTTAACTCCTCAAATATATCAGTTTTTTGTTTTTAATTCCCTTTTTACTACACACTAAAACTAAATATCCTAACTATCCAAGTAAAAAGAAAATCAGAGTCACTATAGACTAATTATAATGGATATTGAACCATAAGTAAGGACTTACTCTAAATAATAGTCTCTAAAACTTTCAGGCAATGCTACTTTCTTTCATTAATGAAGTGGAACAAAGAGCTCAAGCAAAACTACAACTGCGAGAAAAAAACCAGGCACCTAGCAGACCTGAAGAAGCAGCGCTCGCTAAACTGGATTCTAGTCTAAAGAAAAATACTGCATTTATCAGGAAACTGGTGTGTTAAAATTATAATTTATTTTTATATTTCTAAACTAGTAACTTATTATGGTTGTATTTTGTAAATAAAATTAAGGGGTCTTATTGGAAAGAGATAAAAGTTTTGTTAGCTTACAAGAGAAAGTTTGAGTCAAGGGACTGAGAGCACGCAATAAAAGGTTGCATAACATAACACTAATATTTTGTTCTAATACAGAAATTCTTTAGGGAGTAGATTGCAGGAAATAAAGAACTCTACCCCATTTCATAGTACCCATTTTGCAGCCACTTCTTTAAAATTCAACCAAGATTCTTCGGAAGTTTTTATCTAAATTTTTAAAGTGTGAACTAGTAAAGCTGTAAGAAGATAAAATTATGTTTAAAAACTTTGGATGCATGGGTTAAGTGAAAGAAAACCCAAGTCTAGACATACTACCTTGGGGATCAGTAAATGAAGAACATTGGCAGTGTCAGGCTAAAAATGGCAACTTTACACATAGACATTTTATACGTTTTTAAAAGGGGATGAACCATATTTTAGACTTGGTACCGTTTAATGTCGACCTTTTGTTACATAGCAATCCCAATGAAAAATAGCATTTGGGTCCGGAATCAATCTTTTCTTGGATTCAAACTAGTGACCTTCAAATTTTAAGGCGAACATTATAACCTTTCAGCTACTCATACAATAATCTTTCTGAGAAAAAAAAATTCAAATAAAAAATATCCAGCTATTGCTCAGGGGCTCTGATGATGGTAGAAACTACACTGGTGTAGGGTTTGCTGTTACAAAGTATTTTTTCTTAGAATCTGTAAAGGTTTATAGCCCAAAAAGAGCTGTAGCTTCTAAAAATTGGGGAAAGCTGGAAATCATTTAAATCTGCTCTGGAGATCCTGAATAAGTTAAAAATGAGATTGCGACAGATTCTGAAGTGAGCTAAGTGTATAGGTGGCAAAAAAACTAGGCCGATTTTGCTAATTTTTTTAAGCTTTTTGCTTATAACAGTGCGTCCCACAAAAAAAGTGTTTACATACTTTCCTAAAGAACATTAAATTCTGCGTCGAATGACGTTAAAATCATTAAAATTGGTTCAATCGTTCAGCTACAACAGGTTATCAAAAATCAGTAATTTTAACATTCTCCTTGTCATTCTATTCTTGATGATTACAGCGTGTTCCGCCAGATGGCAGTGTATGCAATGGTTTTAGGTTAAAATTACTGAACTTTGACGACCTGTAGTAGCAGAACGGCAGAACCGATTTGAATGATTTTAATGTCATTCGACATGGAATTTAATGTTCTTTAGAAAAGTATGAAAACACTTTTTTTGTAGGATGCACTGTTGCACTTTTGTTGTAGGATGGTGCAAAATTAGCCTAGTTTTTTGCCTCCCATACATTTAGCTCACTTCAGAATCCATCGCAAACTTATTTTAAACTTATTTAGGATCTCCAGAGCAGGTTAAAACGATTTCCAGCTTTCTCCCAATTTTTAGGCGCTACAAGTCAAATTTGCCTGGTCTATTATAAATCAGTGAAAGGTTTTTCAGTTTATTTTATAGTTTTATCTTTGATTTAGGTGCTCTGTACCTATCTGTCTTTACTAATATAATTGCCACGTCTAAAATACATATGGTATATATTCTCTGTTAGCTATTTTTCGTGTTTGGCTATGTTATACCTCTTTGTCAGTGGTTTTAATTAATAGCGAACCCTGTAATTCTAATGCAAGTAATGGTTTGTTGTTTTGTTCAGCGAAACTTCACAGCACCACAGCTGGCAAGTTTGATAAAAGACATGTCTACCTTGAATCTGTCGAAGTATATAAGTGAGGTGGCTTCAGCTTTAGTAGAAGCTAAACTTAAACTGAACGATGTTCCTGCAGCAGTTTTGCTTTGTAGCCAGATGCATACGACTTATTTAGAGTTTTCCAAAGTGCTGTTGGAACATTGGGTGAAAACTCTATCTTTAAAGAAGGACGAAAAGGTACTATGTCTATCTAATTTTATCTTATTTGGTTCTTAGAATGTTTTGTTTTAAATTAATTGATTACTATACTTGTAAATCTTAACTTGTGACTGCACAATATTCATATAACCTTGTGTTTACATTTGTCGAATTATCAATTATTATCAATTATTTAAGATGGGGACACCACTATGTGCGTATTTTAACCCAAATATGAGTGAAGGATAAGTGTAGGATGAGTGTAGGATGAGTGGTGCGATCTTGTAGTCTTGTTAGTGACTAAGGCTGACATGTTCCTTGGACACAGCTGTTAATTAATAGCCCATACAGCTAATGGCAACTAAGGGACCTACAGTTTATTGTGGAATCCGAACCACATTTTTTCCTCGTAATTAACGAATTGGTCTAATTATTAGGATAGTAGTCGTAGTACTCACTAGTGCGGACATTAATCCACACCAGGGTGCATCTCATCCACAGTGCATCCCTATAATTATCCACAATACGTGACCTCCTAGTAGCTGGATTACAGGACGACGCCACCTGTCCCAGTCATATGAATGCAATACTATCCTTGGTTATACAGATTGGCATGGTGAGGACTCTTGATTGTACGGATCAATGTTTAAAAAAATACACAAATATATTTTTCTTACAGTCACCCGACAAAGTGGGCTTCCTTGCATAGATTATAATACAGAAAGCCTTACTTTAGCGCACAGTTTTTAAAATTTTTATTTCTCCATTCAGATCCTCAGGATACCCAAGCTTATCCGAACTGATAAGCCGGGTCAAAGGGCGCTAGCCAGGTTCGCCACCGCCGCTTGCTTACCCCAACAGACGCGCGGCCCAAATAGCAAATATTTACCCCCCTAGGAAAAATAACTCGTTACACCATCCAGGTACGGGTCTGGTCCCAGTATATCGAGATGATTGGAATTCTAGTCTAGATTGTTAGGTAAAAACTTCAGTTTATATTTTCATAAGATTTTTCACACTTTTATACACTTTGTGCTACTTCATAAAGTATGATACTACGTAAATTATCAATGTGATTTTGCAGATTGCAAATCCTAGTAAGCTGCGAGTGGACCTCAGATTTTATGGGGATTTGATCACTTCAGGGATATTCCAGTACAAGGAGGCTCTAACACTACTGGGAAATGTACTTACGTTCCTCTCAACATCAGATAGAGAAGAGCACAATAACATAAGCATCATTCTTAGCTTCTGCAAACATTGTGGAGAAGATTATGCAGGTAAGTTCCAAATACAGAAATCTTGATAAGTTTAAAACTACTGTAGACCCTCTGATGACACACTCTGGATCAAACCCTGTTCAGATTGACCACCTCTGTCCTGGAAAATACTGCCAGTTCATCCAACCTGAATTTGGAAACTGGTTTGTTTAAGTCTACATTTTTGAAGTCTAGACACTTCAGTTCCTATCTTTAACACAATAATAAAATAGAATTGTGCCCTTAAAGGTCTAGTTTTGCCATGAAACACACGGGAAAACTATAAGGAAACATACTACAAACACTTGCCATGGTCGCCGTGACATCATTATGGTCTCCTTTGATCATGGTGAAATTGTGAACATCACCGGCTTTTGCGAAGTCGACTCTGCTCAAAAATCGAGCAGCTTGCACACCTTTCATCTTGACATATGATCTTTCACAAACACAATTTCACTCAAAGTGAGGCAACTGTTCTGCACAGTACAAACACATATGAAAACTGCTATAAATATAATATTATAATATCAATTTCTCAGACTACAGGGTGACAGGATGACCCAGACTAGTGCAGGCAGAATCACAGAGATTTGACTGTACTTTGATGCCTTAGCTTTTTAAATATTTATTAATATTTTAAGAAAGGCTAACTGGGATCTTATTTTCAGGTCTTGTACCAAGAACTATGCGAGTTCTGTCAGAAAAACACAATATTCCGATCCCTAGAAGCTCCATGCTCCCTCCTGAGAAGCAGAAGAATGTTCGGTCACTAGTCAAAGACTACTACAGTTCACTTTGTAAACATCTTCTAAAGGTAGGAAAGTTTGTCTTGGGAAGTTAATAGTTGAGTTACTTTCAATGGTAAGCGTGCAATTCAAAAACAGTTAATTGTGCTAAATTTGTATTTTAAATTATGTGAAACCCTGTTCTAGTCTTACTTTGTGTTTCACATGGACCTTAGATTTGTGTATGCAAGTAGAATTGTTGATTGTCTGCAAACCTGGGATTTGAACCAACTATATACTTTGCAGGTTGCTAATGCAGTTTAACTTAAACGTAAGGAAGACAAATGATTCTGCTCTGCAAAAAGTATTTATATAGTTTTGATATAGTTATTTTGTATTCCTTTAATAATCTGTAAAGGAATTTTATATGTCCACTTCCTTGCTCAGTAACTTTCAAAAATATCGTTGCATCTCATGTGTACTGTTATTCCAATAGATCAATTAGTTGAAACCACCAATTAGCTGTGAATTGATCAATAAGGTTGTATAACAAACCTTGATTGAAAGAAGGGGTATGCGAGTACCCAAGCTGTAGAATATTTTTGAGTTGAGCAGTACATGAGCACTGTGGGTTCAGTTTTAACCCCTTCCTTACAATTTGTACATTATCACAGAATAAAAGCATGATATTTAAAATTACAAGCTATTTTATAACTCTAACTGTCAAACAACCTAAAAACACCCTGAAATAAAGTTATGAAAACTAAGAAGAGAAGTATACATTTCTTGGTTTGGATACTGCAAGAGAAAACCTTGAATGAAATGACAAGAACAGTTTCCTTGATTTTAAGAATAAATTATAAAAGCATATTTTAAGGGTTAGGATGTGGAGACTAGCGTTTTTTGGTGCAGTAGAACCTCGATTAACCGGGGGCTGATCAACCAGGCGGTGAATTAACCGTGGTCAATATATGCCTCTAAAATTATGTTACATAACCTCATTATTCAAGAAGAAAATTTTCTAAATTGTGTTTTTTTTTAGTCTAATCTGTTGAAATACATTGTATATTCTACTATTTCTGCCATATGTAGTTGGCTCCCACATCATTGTTTTTAAAACATCACACTTCATTTAAAAAAAAAATTGGAAGCATAACAAAGAAATATCAGTCCACCACTTCAAGGTCAAGCTATGCACTGCACTGACAGTTGTCTGCTCCTTACACATCTATCAGCTGTGTGCTATTTTACAACAGTTTTGTTGACAACATAATGCTTGTGATTGGGTGATGACAACTTAAGTAGTCTTGGTTGGTTGATTGATTAGTAACCATGGCAACTTTATGAATGTGTGGACAAAGAGAAACCCAAGAAAAATAGGACAAAGAGGAAGAGTAACCTGTTTTTATGTCATTATAATCTTTATCTTATTTTTACTAATGTTGTTATTATCTTTAAGTGCCAGTATTATGATTTTATACTTTTTTAATGAGTTATCTAATGTTTTATCAACATTATTATGACTAGCAGCAGCTTAGTAAACTTTCTATTGGTCAGTTCTTTGCGTAATTTATTGCTGTACAGTATTAGAAAATGTTTGTTTGTTTGAGCAAGCTGCGATTTTTAACTTTACAGGTTTTATAACTGAACCAAGGTTAATGACTTACCATTATATGATTGTGTCATGCTAATTATATTTTGATCATGTAAAATGTAATATTATTATCACATTAATGTCCATTTATACAGTATTAGGTGGTTTTTATTGGTTTGTAATATATTTTTATGTCATGTTGGATCAACATGGTGGTTTTCAGTTATCCGTGGTCTCCCTCCCCCCATTACCCTGGGTAATTGAGGTTCTACTGTAATCTTAAACATCACATCACACACAACCTAAATTGGAATGCAACATCCCTTAGCATTTTTGTCTGTAGATTTTTTAGGGGACATGTTTAATCTATGCTATCTGTTGCATTAGAATATTAGGTAATCTGATTTTCCATTTACATGAGAACAGTTAAGTCAGCTGAAATTCGTAAAATATTTTTGCATTTTAACCTTTGGTCTGACCAAAACTTTTAATTTCCAGGAACATGGTGAGTTGCAAGCTTTTGAACGACAAAACCGAAGAATTCTGCAGACTAAAGGAGAGCTTAGTTCTGAGAGGAAGGAGCGAGGAGAGGCCCTTGCTGCTTCGTTCCAGAAACTTCACAACGGGACTGTCAACTTCGCTGAGATTCTTGATGAAGATGTTCCAGAATTACCTGAAGAAAGTGAGTAAAATCAGAATTAACATTTTAAATCGCTAAGGTATACAATACATTTTGTGATAAACTCAAAGCTCGATTCATTAAAATTGTAAAAAATCTCATTTTGTTTACCTAAGATATATTTTATTATACTTTTAACGTATCTTTAGCAGTCTGATTTTGTTGTTGTTTGTTAGGTTTGATTTTAAAGTTAAAACTACTGCGAGCCAGGTTATAAGTACATACTCGCCTTGTGCTCGCTGGGGGCTCCGCCCCCAGGCCCCCTTTTTTGGTTGGGGGTAAGTGGGAATGTTCCTCGGGGGACAGGATTTTGTTTGTGAATATTTTTTGCTTTTAAAACTTATAACTTTACATCTGCTAGGTAATTCATAAAGAGTATTTGTTACGGGATTATTAAACAAGTCTTGATATATTGAGTCTCGATGTGTGTTTGGTGCTCAAATACTTAAATTTTCTAGGTCATTTACTGAAAACCTATTTTTAGCGACAACAATACAGCAATAGTGTTTAGGGAGGTAACAATATTTATAGAGAGTCTTAGGCCCCCTTCGGGGGCAAGGGGGGGGGTTTAAATCATCGGTACGAAGAATGGGCCCCCTTCGGGGGCTGACCTCGCTGCTGCAAACATCTTTATTATTTTCTACGTCTATAAACAGTTAAACATAAATTTTTATAAGGGGGGATGAAAAGAGGGGGGGGGGGATTAAGATGGAATTGGTCACTGATAAGCTTTTTCTGTCATTAAACATCCATAATGCACTTACTTACGTTTAGATCTTGTTTATGTGTCAATGCAAGTTACTTTTTTATAAGAAATACGTTAAAATAGTGTTAAAAACAATCTTTTTGTTTGAAAAACCACCATTTTTTATTTTTTTTAGTAAGTTAGTTTTTAGTAAGTTTAGTAAGTTGGTAAGTTTTTTTTAGTAAGTTAAGTTAGTTTTTAGTAAGTTGGTATAAGGTCACTTAAGGCACTTTCCTTTAAACGTTAGGACCATAAAAAGTACAAATATATGTATGAAAAGTCGTCTGAAAAATTAAAACACGTAAAAAAATTGAGTATTTTCACAATTTTTGGAAGTAGGGCGGTTTTTGAAGGCGAAGAAGTGCGATTTTCAAAAAAAACCAAATAGTGTCTTGTATATCATTTCATTGTGAACCTACGATTTTCACTCAAATCTTTTCTAGCTCTTATCGTTTTCGAGCTACAGCAGTTAAAAAGAAAAGTGTTCTTAAAAAAAAGGGGGTTTTAAGGGAACTAATTTGGTGGGTTGCAGTCGGAAAAACTAAATTTTGGGACTTCATGGCGGTTTTGTATCCAGACGAATCTTCACAAAAAATTTCAGATCTCTAGCTAACCTAGAAGTGACAAAAATGCTTTTTCTGTTGCTAAACGCCCATAATTCACCTACTGACGTTTACGTCTAGTTTGCCTGTCAAAGCATGCTAATTCTCCATAAGAAAATGCGTTAAAAATTATCTTTTTGATTGAAAATTCACCCCTTTTAATTTTTTTTCGTAAATTAAAATTATATAAGGTCACTTTAGGGACTTTCCTTTCAACGTTGGGAGCATAAAAAGTAGAAATATATATACGAAAAGTCGTTTTAAAACTTAAAAGCACGTAAAAAAAAATCGAGAATAAGTACATATTATAGCATCCATGTGTGGGTTTAGTTTTGTAACTTCTGTAGAATACAACTGTAATCATATAATGACCTTGACATTAATAGCGAAGCATTGGATTTCGGCGATCAATAACATAATTTCTTATTTATATTTGCAAACGCCATTATAAATTTTATGGAAAGGGTCTAAACCCTGGTCTAGTTACTATCCAACATCGACATTTAATTATTCTTTGAAAGCCCAATGACAAATGAAGAATCCGTCTCGCTTGGAATCGTTCCAGTAGACTTCAGATTTGAAGGCAAAACTACCGAGACAATTTGTCTCAACCTATAACTTGAATTTTTGATCAATCCACTATAGCCATGATATCTCTATTGTTGTCAATCTCTGTACCTACCTGATATATTAATACATTATAAGTTATACGTTATAAATGTTGTAAAAATGCCAAGACAAAAATCCTCTTCTTGGTAATTGATTAGGCTTATATATTCCAATTATTGATAAGTTAGTTGCTGATTTCATCAATTCGGTTTTTGGTTGTGTCAATCGAAAGATTAAATATCATTATCCATAAAAACATATTTTAAGTTATAAATATGACTACAGATTAGTTAAAAGTTGAATAACTTAAGAAACCATCAACAGTTTGACAGTAAGCAGAGACCAGTGGCGAATTGAATGGACGAGACAAAATACTGTACTGTAGAGTCAGAGGTGGAAATTTACTTACTAGCCATCTTAAAACTAATTCCAAGATAAAATCCTTAAAGGTTTGCGATTGCATAGTTACCCTAAGAAAGTCATAAACGAATAAAGTGGCAAACTATTCAAAGTGATAAAACTTTTACGAGATCAACTACTGGACTGATGATTTTAACAACTACTTGAAACTACCCAACCAACCGAACCTACCTTGAGTATTCAAACTGACCTTGAGTACTCTGCAGAATTGTTATTGTCTTGTTGAATTTTTAATGGGGTTCCTAGTAATAAATTATGAAAGTTGTAAACAAACATCCGATAGACAGTTCTTGTTCTTCTAACCAACAACCGAAGCACGGTAGAATTGTTGCACAGCAACTGATGAATCTGAAACCAACTTTTTATGTCAATTCTAGGTTTTCGGTCTATTTGGCAAAAAGCAGACAATCAACTTAACAACCGACCCATCCCTAATTTTAATGTTCCTGTTTCTGTAAAAGCTAGCAGACGATAAGTTCTAACTTCAAAATCAATCCTATGAGGGTCGTTTTTTAAATAGGGGCCGTTTCGCGTATAGCTCTGCAGTTCCTGTGTACGCCTTGCAATGAGGCTCCTCGCCACTTACTGGCATCATTTGTGAACAGAATGACACCATTTGCAGCTCAACACCATTTGCAGCTCTGTAGCTGATGTGTACGCTTCGCCGTATCTTTTTAAAACTTTTTAAATTATTGAATCTCCCGCCGCACGCGAGATAAGGTCAGTGATACCTTTTTTGATTAAAAGAAACGTGTATAATGCCAACACTCATCGCTAGATGACTGAAGGTTATAGCCCTAACGCAATGAGTGAGGGTTAAGTGCCACAATGGTTTGTGGAGTGTAAATATGGCTGTGGGGACCTTTTTCCTTTAGTGGTCTTCTGTGAGAAGTCTAGGTACCCACAAAAAAATCCTTCCTAAATGAACATTTGCAATGCCATTTGTAAACTCCCTAGCCCATTTCTGCACTTTCCCTTCTATAATTGCACTACGGTCATAAACTTCAGTCATCTGCCAACTAATGGCTTCTGCCCATGTGTTTCTTGTGGTTAAAAACGCATCACTGACCTTTTTCTCACTCGCGGTTGAAGATTCAATAGTTCAAAAAACACACAGCGAAATGTACACATCAACTACAGAGCTGCAAATGGTGTAATTTTGTTCACCAAGGATGCCAGTAAGAGGTGAGAACTGATGCTGTGGATACACAATCTACAGAGCTATACACAAACACGGCCCTTACTTGAAACACTACCCTTGTACAATAAATCAGATTACCAAGGAAATATGGTATGAAAAAAGCTTGGTTATTTTCTACAAGTGAAACTTGTTTGTATCCAATATGTCAATGTACCAGAATAGATTATGACAATGCTTAATTAACAATTGTAGCCTAGTTTAGTGTTATCTAATCTTCAATTTTCAAGCAGGTATTTAATAAAATCTCAAATATATGGTTATATATTTTTAATTACGGTAGTGCGGTTAAAATATTAATTCTAGTTCTTCTGTTAATAATTTTACAACTAATTCATGTATAATCTTGAAGTTCTTAATAGATTTTATAATCATAACTATTGTAATACAGGTCTTGCATCAAGGACCAACACTTATACTGAAAACTTTGGCAATTTTAGAGGTATCGTCTGTCTGTTTGCTAAAACCATGCCTATTTTTTGTGGATTTTGTCATTTTGCATGTTGTAATAAAACATATGCTACCAAAAAAAGCTCTGTGGTTGTTTGCATTTCTTCTTAATTTCATGTTTGGAATATTTTTTGTTGTTTAACCAGATTTTTTATGTTTATTTTGTTTTGATTTTATGGTAGTGAGTAACACCCCTTGTTTTTTTATTCGCCAAAAAAATACTTATGTGAAAGATGGCAGCTTTCATTTAAATATATACAATGAAAAGTGGTCGTCTATATATTATTATCAGCAACCTATATACAGGGTTTAATACACAGAATAAGTTAGAACCCTCTGGTAATATATTTACCGTACCTACTGTCCCACCAGTCTATAATCCTAGGTCAACTGAATGACTAGGTAATTTATAGATTGTATTTATGACTGTATTTTCATGAATCCCTTAACAATTAAAAACTGTTTCTCATTTAGGTTATTTAACTTGAAATTTTGCTCAACAGTGTATTAGTTTAGTAAAATAATTACTCAGTTACATTTGCATATGGTTGCAGTAGTGGTTTAAAAATAGTGTAAATCGCAATTTTTCCACACATACATTACCAAATAGTAACAGGCCACCAAAAACGAACTTTTTCATTTTGACCAGATAAAAATTAAGTGCAGGTTGAAAATTGTTTAATACTTATACAAAATTCATTGCTGAAATTTTGAAATAATTATGTTTTTTTAGAGCTTAGTAAAGCAGAAGCAGAAATGTTCAGTATTGGAGGTATAACAGACTCAGACGATCCTTCATGCGCCATATGCCTTTGGGAAGATGAAGAAACACAGCGATTCTATACAGAGTTTCCCAACCTCAAAGATTACTTGCCAAACTACAAAGTTGTCAAATCAGATAAAGCCTCTTCTGCTACGGTATAGTACTCTTTCCTACGTTATTCAATTATTTTTAACTTTCCCACTTAATATAGGCTCCTGATTATCCACAAGTAGATGCCGTAGTTTATTTTGCCGACTATTGATGAGTCATCGATTACAACAAGCGAGTTGATAAAAGTTGAAAGGTATTTACACTGCATTTAAAATGTTTTCATTTTTACCTAAATGTATATTTAAGCTTAAACAGCTTAACTATAAATTTAAAGTCAATTATAGTTTCTTCTCGGGCATTTTAGGTTAGAATTACGATCATTCATTACTCAGCCACTCATTATCGTGGATAATCGGGACTCTACTGTACACAGGGTATTCATTTGCTTTGCACTTTGTAAATCTTCTTACTTCTTCACAAATGTGATTTCTCATTTACTTGTTTATTTAGCTATGCGTCATACTTGTTCAGAACTGGTAATTCGACAGTCGGTTCCTTCATTTGAAACTTGATCAGTTCTTTGTACAACCAGCTTCAATTAACATTAATGAATGTAAAATTCAATGAGCTTTACTTCAATAAAAAACTATTTGATACAGAAAAATACAAATACAAAGTTTGAAATAAATCCCCAATGGGCTAGTGTCTATGGTGTGGATTGAGTCCATCCGCACAGTAACACAAAGAAATTTGCACTAAAAACTAAATTATATATTGACACAAAATATAACCAATAAAAAAAGTTATAAACACCAAATATAAAAATAACTAAGTAAAATAAGAGAAATAATATGCACGCATATATTCTCTCTTATCTGTTCAGTTTATATCTAAAAATAATAAAAGATGAAGAATCCTAATAAAAATTAAACATTTTGAATTGCCTGAGACTTGGCTCATACATTCCACACACACATTTTACCCTAACAACTTCACAAAACCTCACTTACCTACACAAACACAAATCAAATCTTACACTCACCAGTCACCACTCACTCAGATCAAACATTTCACAGCCGCTACCTTCACAGTACTCACCCTGCAATGGTTCACAACTAGATCCAGCTATCCTGGCACTGACTATAGAATCAGCTGGTCTTAGCCAGTAAGAATGATAAAATAAGAAGACTTTTACCTGGAATACATATTTTAAAAGTACGGTCCGTTTAGAAATATATAAAATGTACTAACGATTATAATAATTTATTGTATATTTTAGATGACGGAAGAGAAACTCGATGAAGATCTCAAAGAAGAAGAATTGGAAGATGACAAGAAAGAAGAAGAAGTGGTGGCTGAAACTATCGAAGGTACAGCTAAACGTAGCAAAGTGGTATTTCATCAAGTCTTATTTTCATGGATGCAAATAACTATAGTCCAGCTAGCCAGACGCATCGCTTAAGAGATAAGGAGACTTTTAACTCATAACTCTTAGGAGGTGCACATAGGCATAAATACCACGAATAAGAATAAGAATAATAAATATTTATTTCCATTGACCTTTATAAAAGGAATAGGACACGTCATTTGTTATACACAGTTACAAGGTGATTCAGTGTTTACAGTAAAATATATCTAAATTTAAATGGCCACTTACATGAAAATAAAAGCTTTATTTCAACTTACTCTTCAAAATCTAATATTTGTTTCACAACTTTAAAAATCATCAATTTTGTAAAAGGGATTTTTAACAATCCAGTCATACAGCTTATTTTTAAAAATACTGAAAGAAACTAACTTTGCTTCTTCAGGCAGCTTATTAAAAAACGTTATACAATTTAATTTATGTGAATGTTTGGTTTTTGCCAATCTGTGCTGCAATATATCTATTTTATCTTGTATCCCTACCTCTGGTATAGTGGTTGTGTACGTCTTTTCGGAAAGAGAATTAATCTAAGTTTGACTTTGTATATATTAGAATTTGGAACCAATATATAAAGATCTACTATGGTTGGTATCCTGAAATTAATGAAAAGGGGTTTACAGTGTGTAGCTGAGCATTCTCCAGCAATGCTTCGAACCACCTTTTTTGGAGTAAAAGGATGTCATTAATATGTGGAGAGTGGCCCCACAAAATAAGACCATATAGTATGTGTGATTGAAAGAATTCAAAATATGCCAATCTTAAATATTCTTGACTAACAAAATCCTTAAGTTTCCACAGCAAGCACCTCACTCTTGAAATTTTGTTACAAACAGATTGTATGTGTGCAAACTGATTCAAATTTCTGAAAACCAATCATATGCTCTCAGTTCAGCCTCTTGACTAATTTAGTGCAGGGTTGTTAAATTAGAATGGTTAGCGAGTAAAGTTGTTTGTAAGCAAATCAAATATGTCTTTATTCATAATATGTACAATGTACATCCGCATATATAACAGATTGTGTATTTATATTTATAGGGAGATCATTAATGTAGACGTTAAAGAAAAAGGGCCCTAGTACAGAGCCCTGAGGAACACCGGTTTGAACTTTTTCAGTTTTAGAACATGGAGCTGGTGGTAAGTCAGTATTGGATGGTAAACGTTATTTTCTTTATACCAACCACAATGTTCTGGATGCTACAACTATCGGTAGAATCTCACACATAGCATACAAATGCAGATCCCAGGAGTTAATTGTGTCGTCTTCTATAAAAATTCGTACAGTCATAATAATTCGCTGATATTCCAACCACAGTTGACTAGTTCTCGAGGAGGATTGCAAAGGATTTGTCTTTGTCTCCAGAGCAGTGTCAATTAAAGATAACACATAACTTTGCTCAATGTCCTTTTTAGTTTTTTGACCGGTCATAATACCTTCGAGTATGTCACAAAGTTTTCTGGACAAATTCTTGGGAAGTTCCATGTTCATTGGGAGGAAAAACCTCTGACACTATTAGGGTACTGAGGGCTGCATCTACAATCATATGTCCTCTCATCGCACTAGAAACAGCTTTTCCAGTCATCAATAAAAAATAAATACTCCTGATCCATTCTCATTCATGAGAGTGCCAATTGCACCTAATACATTTCATCAGCCTATGGAATGTTCCAAGCATTAAAGTAATGTCTTAAAGCTCGTTTTCAGTATTCATGATTTGAGAAGCTTTCCATAATAAAGGCTGATCAAAAGTAACTACACATGGAAAACTATGGTTGTATGCTAATTTGTTAAGGTACGTTAGTGTAGAAAAGATACAACTCATGTTTCCCGCTGCCATATCAATTTTAGGATAAAATAAAATGGAATATTTCCCTGGGTGTGTAACATCAGATCTTGAATGCATTATCTGCATAGCTCCAGACCAACTTGGACCTGGTTTTTTTAATCTTGAGATCTGCCAATATGGACTGAGTTTATTAAGCGGAGCATTTGGTAATATTTGAAGTTTACAGAATAATATGTATGGTTTTGGAAGGTTTGTATTCCAAAATTTCAACTTTGACCAAGTTTTTGATGACAATATCACCAACATTATCCCTTTTCACAGTAGGGTAGATCGTGTTTTTGGAGTAATTGCCCCAATCATACCATGAAAGGTAACCTATTCTTATTGTCCAAGATACAAATATTGTGATCCTCATTGCCTGCTGCTAGCAAAGGGGTTGAGTCTTCAGCAACATTAAAAGAAGTGCAGGCACCTGAAACCGCTGTGTTTTTTTTTTTCAAATCTAGATACTTCAGCGTATATGATGAACAAAATCCAAGATTGTGTAGAACGTCAGTAAGGCCCCTTGATCTATAATTATAATGAAGCTGAACAGACAGACCAATTTGTAAATGACATAGTAATGCTCTAGAGTGGATAGATTGCATGATGGACTGACCCACAGAACCAATTTTTACTTCCAACAAACAACTTAGATAACAGCAATTTTGATGTATTTGGAATGAGTTTATTAGGTGATGGGTACTCAATACTCAGACTCATTCCTGTATTGGTAAGGGTTTTGACGTCACTTTTGATTATTTTTGCAGCAGCTTCTATTAACTGAATTTTCTGCAACTCAATATCACGAGAATGTGATGTATTTTTATCGTAACTTCGAAGAATGCCATTAGTTGTATCATGTAACGTTACTATGTCTGATTTCCCTACACTACCAAATATTATAATGTTTTCTCCATAGAATTCCAAAAGCTTTATCTTCATGTACGTACGATCATAAGCACGGCTCTGTCCACCCGGAAGATATTCTCCCATTTTAAAAATTAGGTCCCCAAAAACCATCTGCTCTTCATCAATTTTGTCAAAAGATTCACAAGAATCACAAGTACAAAGAAACGCCTGATACTGTTCTTCATTAGCTATCCACCCTTTTTCTGAAGAGTTCTTGTTAGTGTAGTATTCTTAGGGAATATTTCTCCAACCACTAAAATTGGTACTGCATGATTGATGATAGACACAACCTGCAGACATAAGGTTTTCTGTACAGTATGCCAACCTGCCGCGTACATTAAATGACCACTCATCAGAGCGTTGTTCACATTATTTTTTATGGCTCCAGCAAACTGTGTGATTCTTACTTTCACATTTTCAGTCTTTGGCTTATGTTTAGATGAGAAGTCCACTAATTTTCCACAAAACAAACAGCGAGTAGTAATTGAAACCGGGCCTCAATCAAGCGCACACTTTTCCTTTTTACTTCTTCAAAGCAACCCTTTGGTTTTAAAATGCCAATATTCTTTTTAATGATAAATGTTTTTCGACACAATACATGAACACTTTTACCGGAAGTTGCAAATGCATTGCTTTTGCGGAATCGGCTTGCTTCATAATGCTATTTGCCCCCTTTTTTAAAAGCTTTACTGTGTCAAATCAAATCAAATCAAAAAATCCTTTATTCAAACAGTACATTTCTATACATGAATTGTGTCAAGTCAAGAATAAACATAACTATACATTTGGCATATTTACAGCACTAATTAATTAAGAGCTATAATCTATATGTATACACTTTCTTCCCTACAACTGCTTACGGTTCAACCATTACAACTAACTATTGATTTGCATACAGCTAATTGAAAAAGTCCCCAATCTTGTAGCAGCATTTATCTGACAACAATTTGAATAAACTGGTTTTAAATCTTTTAAAATCTGTCAAACCCTTTATGGTGCTATCCTAAACTACTACTATTATAGTGTATCCTATAATATATAATTTGTGATCAAATATCACGCACACATCAACAATGTCATCGTCAACTTCCATGATTATTTATCCTACATATCAATAACATAACAAATTAGTTAATATACAAATACCCCCGCCGCAGCAAACCTGCCGACTAAGCGAATTTCCAGTTGCCTGAATTGATTTTCAATTAGATGTATTTAATTAACATTAATTTTTATGAGTACATAGGCTTTTTTAGAGAAATATTAATTACTTAGTATAAAATAAATAAATTTACCAAGTTTGATCAAAATATATCCATAAATAAGCAGACTACAACATTTTACAATATTCCCTATAAGAATAACATGGGAATTTTAAAATAACAATTATTTGAATTTTCTCCGTAACTAATAATAGTACAAAAACACTTTGATATACTAAATTATTTGTTTTTTTAAGCTCTTTAAGAAGGTCTCAAGATAAATTGGGAAATTTTGCGTTTCGAGGGTCAAAAATTAGAAAAACCAATTTTTACCCCATAAAACCCCCGAAAAACCCCGTTCCCATGGTCCGATCATGCTGGTTCACGAACTCATTCAAGTTTATCCCGCCTTACACCTTCAAACTGGGGACATCAAAATGAAAAAGTAAATCGGTCCCGGGCCTAGGTCTTACCATGCCACCTACGGTAATAGCTACTTCCCTATAGGGAAATTCGCTAAAAAGGAATCACAACTGTATCTCACAAAGTTTTAAAATGTTCGCTTACATTAACAAATATTGAAATACAGTAGTCTCCCTCTTATCCAGACTCCTCTGGACTGAGGCCAGTCTGGATAACAGGTTTTCTAGTTAAACCGTCATCCCCTAAAACTCGTTGAAACGTACCGTTTAAATGCATATTTGACTTAAATTTTAGGAGAGCATTGTATTTAGACATGTCTCAAAGCTTTCCCACGAGAACAGTAATTTCAGTACCGCCCACTTCCTGAATATTGAGGAATGATTGGTTTATAATGATAGAGAGAGGTTCTGCAATTAAATTAGAAGCATTTTTGACCAAATTTACTGGTATTTCGTCCCAGCCTGATGACTTCTTATTTTTGAAAGATTTAATAATTTTAATAACATCCTTCACATCAATAAAATGAAAATCAAATGTTGGGGTCTGCCTTTCATCCATTGCCTTTATTGTTAGTTGTACCGCCT